CTCTCTCTCTCTCTCTCTCTCTCTCTCTCTCTCTCTCTCTTTCTCTCTCTCTCTCTCTCTCTCTCTCTCTCTCTCACTCTCGCTATCTCTCTCTCTCTCTTTCTCCCCCACCCTGTCTTTCTTCCGGCTTTTCTCTCCCCATTTTCTTCCATCTATTCGACTATCTCTTTCACGTTTCGCTTTCACCATTCCTTCCCCCCTCTCTCTCTCTCTCTCTTTCTCTCTCGCTTTCTCTCCATATTCATCTCACTGCTTTCGTCCGTCTTCCTCTCTGACACGCGCCCCCTTATTATCTCTGCATGTTCATTATTCGCGTCATCATCCACCACTTATTTATAATATCACGGCTGCGTATACAATGTCAAGCGTATATGCCTCTCTCGCCGTGACTACGTTTGTTGTCAAGTTGTTCGTGCTGCAAGAAATCACGTTCGCCTGCTAATAATCGATGCACGTAACTTGAGCGATTGCCACATACGTGGATGCCTCATCGATCCGTACTACGGAGGTGGATAGAGAGATGAAGAAGAGCGAATTATAGAGAGAAATAGAGAGAGAGAGCGAGAGAAAGAAAAAGAGAGCGCGTGTGGGAGAGGGGGGGGGAGAGAGAGAGAGAGAGAAAGAGAGAGAGAGAAAGAAAGAGAGCGCGTGTGGGAGATAGAGAGAGGAGAGAGCATAGGGGGAGAAAGAGTTAGTGAGAGATAAAGAGAGTATGGGACAGATGGGGATTGAGAGTACAAGAGCGAAAGAAACGCGACCGCGAGCTAAAGAGAGAAAGAGAGAGAGAGAGAGAGAGAGCGAAGGAAGAGAGAAGGGGAGAGAAAGAGAGGAAGGAAGAGAAGGAGGGGTGAAGGGGAGGGGAGATAAACAGGGGGAGAAGATAGATATATGCTGCTCCTCGCCTATACCTACTCAATTTCCTACCAAACAGCCTAATGAGAAGTTAGATATAAGGAGCTTCGATAGGTCACTTCAATGCGGGATTGATATGCTTCCAAATAGACCGTGATTCTATTAGCTCTCATTCTCGTGTAGGAGTTTAGGCTTCGGACAGTCTCCCGTGAGGTGCACCCGCACCACCAAGCCATGGCCTGCTATGTGGCTGTACATGTGGCGACACAGCCATGTTGTGTCACCTTGTCAACGCATCCAAGTTACGCATGCTTCAGCCTTGTCCACGTTTTTTACCGCACTAATTCAATAATTTATTAAAGTAAATAATCAAAACAATTGCTCAATGTTTTATACTATAAAATTATATTCATATTTAGTACTATATTTATAGGCATTAATAGTAACTATTGTTTATGTATCGTGCTAAATACATCACATTTATTATTATTAGTATATGGCATATTATATGTTATATCAGAAGTAAATAAGCAAAGATTTTGATATTTGCGATTATTTTCTCCTGGCTATATTACGTTCGATTGCCTTCAGATTCGCCAGCCAGAGCGAGAGACGCGCGTGCGCGTGCGCAGAGCCGCTCAGCGGGTTGTAAAGCAGACGAGAAATGGAAGCGAGGTAAGTTTAGTAGGTAGTACCGTATGTACGGAAGCACTTTACTATTCTATTCAACGGTCACCGAATACGGTAACTGAATACATCAGTAATAATGAATCAGCCACGAGATATAAGCCGTAGAAGACGCACCGACTAGGGACCCATAGCTAACGTTTCAGAACCACCACGACGCTCGGAGAGAACTAGTATTAATGTTAAGACTAATCATCATCAGGCAACATCTCTCTCCACCGAAGCTACAATAACATTAGATCAAGCCTAGAAATGCGAGACATCACTCAGTACATATATATCTACTTATTGGGATTGCATATATGATCGATGGCAGCTCTTGATGGCATACAGCAAGTAGTCATAGAGAGAGAGAGAGAGAGAGAGAGAGAGAGAGAGAGAGATTGTTAAGTGGGTAAAGACAGAGAATTGCTCGGCTGTCGGTGGCAGCCAGCATCGATCTACGGTAGTAGTTAAGTGTGTTGACTGAGTGTGTGGCGGCGACGACGCCTGTGAACCACGCATTCCTTTATGGGCCCTGAGGTGCGCCGATGTATTCATTCTACGGATATTGTTAGGTTTTCAGTCACTTGTCGGCTGCTAAGATACTTACGTACTTAGTACCTATAGTGGGTGTATTATGGCTTCTCCTTCATTCGTCTCCCCATTAGCATCCCAGCTGACTCCCCTTCACTCATTATTCATTCTCCGTCATATTGCTCATCGCTATCACTCTTATTTTGTCCCTCTCCTCCAAGGTTTTTTCATCTTCATCGACATCTTTGTCTTAAACATGAGAAAGTTCCTCAAAATACCTATTCTTTCTTGTTCCTCTTTCTCATTCTTACCCATCACTATTCGTCCCAGCTCCACCGCCTTACCTATCACTATTCTTCACTGTTCCTCCTCCTCCCCCTCCTCCCCCTCTCCTCCTCCTCCTCCTCCTCCTCCTCGCGCATCACCCCGACACAACCATTCAGCGGTCTTCCATAATAATAACGGAGTGACATTACGCATGCACAACACAAACGCAAACGCAAACGCAAACGCAAGCACGCACGTGCACGCACGCACGCACACACGCACACACACACACACACACACACACACACACACACACACACACACACACAGACACGAACCATGCGGGCATGGCCCACGCTAAGCACACAGCATAGGAATCGTTTTTTTGTAGTTTATTGCGTAAGCAGCTTGCGGTTAAAGATGACAAAGGAACGCATCGATGCTTTGAAGCGTCATACGAAGCGTGCGGCCGCTCAGCTTTTGATGCTTTTCATCACGAGCGGTGGACACGAATATGAGAGTCAGCATGTGGGCTCCCCAAAAGCTAACGCGCGTTCATGACGTAGGTCTGACGCGTTTGTACGCGGCTAGTAAAGGAATCCCTTACTCGGAGATGCGAAGTGGCGTATGTAGTGCGGTTGGCAATGTTGTGTGGCGTGTGTGCGTGCCGTGCGTGCGGCGTGCATGGCGTGCTGTGCTGCGTGCGTGTGTTGGTGGTGTGTATATATGTGTCGTGTGGTGTGGCGCGCGCGTGGCGCGCTGTGCGTGTGTGCGTGCACTGTGGGTGCGTAGTGTGCGCGTGCGTGTAATGCTGTTTTGTGCATAGCTTTTGTTGTTGGTTTGTTTATAGGTCAATATAAATCAGCAAATGAGAATGAAAATGGTTCGTCAATATTGACTTATACTGTTTCAGTGCTGTCTTTTTGGTTCCGCAATAGGTAGCATTGCGCTGTTGTAACATGTGTATTGTTATCAAATTGTTTTTACATACCATTAGCTTCAAAACTCACAAATGCTTGAATAAATAAAGTGTGATAGTGAACATCTCAAGCACCTTTTTCCTGTATACACCAATGCACTCTTAAGTTCTTATTCGCGCTTATACCTGTTTTTTACTTCCAAAGAGGTGCATGTTAATATTATTCTCGATGTGCTTATACTTGCGGAGCGGAACAACATTTATAACTAGACCAGAGGCACTCCACCATGAGAGTGGCAATACGCTCCGCCAGCATGTAAACATGTATGTTTTCGAGCTGCTCGCGCTCGCTGCTGGCTTGCTGCTGACTGACTCGCCGCTCGCCTGGTGGCGGCTAACTGACGTTCGCCGCTCGCTTGTGGTTGCTGGCTGACATCACTCGCCTGCTGCTTGACTCGCCGCTCCTGACCTCGACGTGCGCTATCGATTCGCCCGGAAGCGGGACTGGGAACCACACCACACACAAGATCACACACACACACAACAGCCCTCGAGACTGGATTACATTACCTCTCGCTCCAGATCCGTTATCCGTTAGAACCTCCTGTGGGCGGAGGGTAATAATGTAAACAGGATGATTTCCGTGGGCGAGGTTAATAAATGAAGGCCGACACAGTTGTTTTCACTAAGCCTACAGACAATGTTTTGTATGTATATTGTATGTATGTATGTTAGCCCCTACTATGGTGGTTTTGTATGTAGTGTATGTATGTATTGGTATGATATGTATGTTATGGTTATGTATGTATGGTATGTAGTGTGTATGTGTGTATGTGTGTGTGTGTGTGTGGTGTGTGTGTATGTGTGTATGTGTTGTTAAAATGGGGTTGTGTATGTGTGTAGTTGTAGTGTGTGGTGTGTGTGTGTGTGTGCTGGTGTGTGTGTTGTGTGTATTGTGATTGTGATGTTGTATGTGTGTATGTGTTGAATGTTGTGTATGGTGTATTGTGGGTATGTGGGTATGTGTGTATGTGTGTATGTATGTATGTATTGTAATGTATTGGTATGTATGTATGTATTATGCGTGTATGTA